ACCAACGGGCAGGCCTCGAAAACAGGTCAAACAGGCCCTTGGAAAAGGCCAGGCGGACGGTTGACCGAAATGTCAACAGTCGACTTGTGGACCCAGGCCCAGATCCGAGAAGTCAAAGTCGACGCATAAGATTTCCTGGCCGACAATCTGGAATGATCTAACGGTGGTCTGGAGGTTCCGAAAGATTCAGGCCTCAAGGAGTCCAGACCGAAACTGGGACAAATTCCATCTGAGCCGCCAATATTCGGACGATCCGGGGCCTCACACACACAGAAGCTGACCCTGGACAACGCGAGTCAACACTATATAGAGTTGACGTCGCCACTGCTTGGACATTCAGTCTTGCGAGTTGTTTGCGGCTTCGACGCTGCACTTGAGACTTGAGAGGAGGAGGCTGGCGCCATGCTGTTTTGTGGGCGCCAGAGGAGAAGCAGCCATTGCTGCAGCCATAGTCGACAGCGAGGTAGTGAGGAGAGAGAGAGAGAGAGAGAGAGAGAGAGAGAGAGAGAGAGAGAGAGAGAGAGAGAGAGAGAGGGCGAGGTGTGAGGTCGTGCGCACGTACCTGGTCTCACTTGATGTGATGCAGCTGCTGATTCTGTTCGCTGCTGAAGGATCGCTCAGCTGTGAAAGGCTGCATTTACATCATCCACGTGTCATACTGCGTACAGATCGCTGACGTGGCAGAGGTGGGGAAGCCTGGAGGAGAAGAGGGAATTGGTTGCTACGATATTCTTCTCTCTTCCATCTGTCTCTTCTTCCCCCCTTTCCTTTCTAATCTGGATACTCTTGACTTGGAGACTTTACACATGGTAACGAGGGATCATGTACTTCAATGCCTTTGAATTGATGGACTCGCTGGAATGATTACGACATTGCACGACATTGCTATCTGACGACACTTTTATCTGACGACATGTTTGACCGATGCGACTGGGCTCATTACAAGATAAATAAAAAGATAAATAATAAAAATAGCTAGGCTACCAGCCGGGCCGCCCGGGTACTGGGTGGCCAGCCCGTGCAAGGACCAGGGAAGGTTCCAGCAAAAAAAAAAAAAAAAAAATCAAAAAAATCCGGAAAGAAAACTATGTTATGCAGAAAAATAAACTGAACAACTTTTGCCTCAAGGTCACATCGAAATTCTGCACCAAATTTAGCAAACAAAAATTAAAAAATATATATATATATTTTTTTTTAATTGTTTTTGGCCCGGCCGGGCAAGTGACCCCGGGCCACTCTGGTAGCCTAGAAAAATAGTCTTTTAATAGATGAATAAATAGATCAATAATTTACAAGTAGAGTTTAATAAACCCTATCTCTACGCTCCTAATAGAGCGGTAAGTTGCAACAGGCCTCTCAGGCCTCTGTTATGAACCTGGTCGCTTGTTGTCTGAAGACCAACACTCGCTCACATAGACTCCCGTACATACCCATACACACACAGAAGGAAGGGGAGAGGATAGGAGTATCACACCGCACAGAGAGAGAGAAACACAGCGGAAGACTTGACCACGCGATATGACAGAACACACTGAAAGTGCAATAATTCACTCCACAGAATCCCCACAACCAGTCACAAAGGAAAGCCGAGTAGATCACATCCAGAAAACAATGAAGCAAAGATAGTTCTCACACAGTTTACTAAACTCAGAGAATCGTTTTGCCAGAATAGTCTCAGAAACATGGTTCGCTGCTCAGGAATGAGCAGCGCTTCTCCCCCAACCCAGAGTGACCGCTATCTCCTAACCCAGAACCCCGGGAACAGTCAGCGCCACCCAGATACTGCCTCCAGAGGGAAGCGCCACCCGGAATTAGGCCTCTGGAGCCAAGCGTCTCTCAGAGGATGAAGAAGAAGATGAAGTGCCAGATAACTTCACTAGTGAAGATCTGCAGCAATGCCACCTTTCCTGACAAAGAAGATCTCTGAGGATGTAAGTTGCAGCTATGTCTGCAGCACCGCCACCCTGAACCCTATTCATGAGGAGGGTTCCGCAGGGCACCAACTTCTCCTGCTCCCAGCAGACCTCAGATATCCCAGACCTCTGAGCAGCCCCACGTGCTGCCAGAGAACAGCGAAGGACCCAGCTATGGCCGATGCTTCGAGGGTCTGGCTATGTCTGTCTCCTTCAACGCTGAAGCTTTCACCACTCCAGTTCACGCGTTGTGCCGTCGCGATCTGCAAAATGCCAACCGTTAAAAGCCCTGAACAGACTTTCCCATCCTATCTACTCTAGCCTAGAGTCGACCTAGACCAGACCTACTGGACCGATCGGTGCCGTTTTCCGTTTCGGCCTCTAGGGCCTCTCCCTACCCGGCTATGTGCTATGGAACCAGTCTAACAGCGTAGGTCGTAGGGCCTGTCTGTCCTCGTGGTAGCCCGGGCCTGCTATTCGCAGTTAGGGTAGCTGTAAGAAATCCGAATTGGTATGGGCCTGAAAATTTCCCGAATTTGCAGATATGTCCCTCACGAATTTCCCCCACAGGCAGATATCACAATTAGCCCTTAGTAAAACAAAGTTCCGAATCTAACCTACCTATGGTACAGCCTCGGTTCGACGGGCCGCAGGCTGCAGAATCAGCAAGTCATTGCACCTCTGTGTGACTCAGAGAGCATACTCACACTAGGCCTTCCGTGGATGTATCTGAGCGCAATTATACCCATTTCTGGATGTATCCGACCGCAGTTACGACTACAAATCGATCGAGAAAGTCATAGTGTGGGTATGCCCTCAGTCTTGCAGTCACTTCTAATAAAGAGGCACCAACTATTTGGCACAGCTTAAAGGTGCTGCATGTAGACACCAGAAAACATGGGAAAGACCAGAAAACAAAAGTACAGGACTGGAAAAAAACGGAGTACAAGGGGAAAAAAACACGAGGATAATGACAGACCGAGTCATCAGACTTGCACTGACTCATCAGGAGGCTGAGCCCTTGACAACCTGTGGATTTTTTTAAATCTTTTTATTTAATATTTGATTTCATTCATGTAGTTCCGTCTGGATTCGGGCTCAGGCCTGCATGTCAACAGTTCATGGGGCTACGAACTGAGTGAGGCCCGTTGGTAATCCCATACTGATGCTTTGGGTCGTGAACTTAAGCCTTATTGTAACCGGACAAACAGCAGCACAAGCAGCAAGGCAAAGGTGAGGCAACAGGGCATTGGACGGCAAGCAGCAGCAAGGGACATAGGGTGGAGGGCACAGAGGAGGCAGGTGGGCATACAAAGGCGGTCGCCAGTCAGACAAAAGGCAGGCAAATGACCAACCAAGATGGACGCAAAGACAAGGCAACGAGGGAAGCAAGGCAAAAGGCAGTGAGGCAAAACGCGGCAAGGCGAAGCGTGGCAAGGCGAAGCGCAGCAAGGCCAAAGCCATCCAAACAACCACTGGCAGGCAAGGATCATGGAAAGACAAAAGGTAGCAAGGCAAAGGGTGGTGAGGGAAAACGTAGCAAGGCAAAGGGCATTGAGACAAAAGGTAGCAAGGCAAAGGGGCGGTGAGGCAAAAGGTGTCCCCAAGACCAGGCAAGCAGCTCGGAAAGACAAGGCAGCAAGGCAGAAGGAAGCAAAACAAAATGCAGCGAGGCAAAAAAGAAAAAAGCAGCCAAATAAAAGGCAGCGAGGCAAGAAAACGGCAAAGCAAAAGGCAACGAGGCCAAAAAGCAGTGAAGCAAAAGGCATCCAAATGATAAAGGCAGCACAGAGAGAGAGAGAGAGAGAGAGAGAGAGAGAGAGAGAGAGAGAGAGAGAGAGAGAGAGAGAGAGAGAGAGAGAGAGAGAGAGAGAGA